ATACATACATACATACATACATACATACATACATACATACATACATACATACATATATACATGTTGGTAATTACCTTAAAAAAAAGTCTACATCTGTATAACTCATCAGTTTCATTTATTGTAATGATACTGATACACTGAAAAACATAAACACTGTTTACTTCCTGCTTATTCTTTGTGAATTCCCTTTTTCTTTCACATGAACACACAGATACTTATGCACTCACAAAATTAATGTTATCAGTAAAAACAACATGGATTTGAAATTGAAATGAACGTGAATACCCCCCCCTTGACAAAAACCAAACCTAAACAAACGATAAAAACCTTCAAACCCTGACCTCTTTAGCTTTCTTCAATCTGTTCCTTGGCACAAACTCGTTGCCTGCAGGAGGAATGAGCACCTCCATCACCACATCCCCCATTGCACTGTACGGGTAGAACACCTGAGAATAATCCCCACTCTGACGGGACTCCTGCACTGAGAGCAGAAATGACAGACAAAATAAGATAGAGCTATCAATTTTATTTCGTCGTTAGAACATCTGTAAACTGGTGTACTGGGAACGGAAAAGACAGACAAAATAGGATATATAGCTCATATTTTAAGTACAAGGGTAGATCATTCTTCTGTGAAAGAAACCAGTCTGACAGGACTCCTGAACTGAAAATTATAGACACAAAAAGACTCAGTTGCCATTTTTCCTCAATGTTTAGAACACCTGTGTACATTTTGATAATCTGACCAGAGGAGTATTCGTAATCCTTCACCTTTGTTGCTTTGATGACTTATTAAGTGCTAATCAAGTTTTCTTAACAAAGAAGCCTCATTGTCTTTTGAGTTAAAGACGATGGGACATCTATAGATTTACTGAGGCCTAAAAACCATTTTGACAAGAAGCTAAACATAGAACATTGCACATGCTTACCCATTCTTTCTCTTTCAGCCCTCATTTCCATACCCTTCAGAGCTGGTGTCATTACTTGGCTCAGGTTATACACCACAGGGATGCCCTCCTAGAGAGACATAGGAAAATTTAGAACTGAACTGGAAGAATGCAAAACAGCCTGAAAGAAAATTGATTCTGTAAATATAGTATGACTTAATTCACAGTAACCTCTCATGTCCGAGAGCATTCCATGAGTGAAGGTGTTGGGCTGTGTCAAAAATCGAGGTAAGTTACAGTTTCCAAAGAGTTGGCATAATAATGCACATATTACATTAGATGACAGCAGTAACTGTAAATAATTCATGCGCCCACCTACACAATTTTCATCAATTAGGTGGCAGGCTGCCTTGACCATGCCTGTCACGGCCAACCTGTACTGAAAGGGAAACAGCGTACCATCAAACAGCCAAAGGGACTCAATAAATTTCTTCACTCAGAAATCAAACTCACATTTTCTGTATGCAACAACGAAAAGTCTAACCAATACACCCCTGATGCCGATCATATCTGCTCTGATGACAGCATTGAAGTAAAATCTGTAGTAAGTCAAAACTCAGGAAAAATAGAGGAAAGACATGTACAATGAAATTTTTTAAAAAGTGATATAAATTATTCCCTTCTGTTTCCACAAAAAACACATGGTACACGCACAATGTAAAGAATAACTTACCTCATTGTTGCGCATAAGAGCAGGCATTTCATTCACCTGGCTCTTGGCCTGTTGTAAAACATTGTGACCCCTTATGGTCACCAATGACAGACCCTCTTCCTCAGTGATGTTCTCGAGCCTGTGTAAAAGAACAGAGGATTTTCTATGAAAATGATGAGAAAAAAATAGAAAAGGCTGGGGGGGGGGTGTCCTACTTTCATTTATAACAAAATCAATAATACCAACTTATTGCCCGTTCATTTCTTTTTCAAACATATAATTTAATGAGGTCCTGCCAAGATCGACCAGTCAACCGTTGCACAAACCCTCCTGTGTCCTTACATTGCCTATTGTCACCCTATAGCTTCGCATTCATAACCTGCTGCAGTCAGGATTTTCCCACACTAATCATAAAGGAAATTTCCTTCCCAGGACGCTGTCAATATGACTTCCGGAGGGGTGAGATCTTCTGGTTTCTGAGGACAGTTTAAGTTCCATTATCAGGCTACTATACTATAGAAAGAAAGTTACGATCATTTGAAACTGAAACTTTTTTGCCTATTTCTTGAACTTTTTTCCTTAGAGTCGAGCAAAAATCTACTATTCTATTATCTATGTTGTAAAGACGATGTACATGATAATCATAACAAATAAAGGGAGGATTACATACACTAAAGGCTAATGCCTAGTCACAAAGAGAAATCAGACATTGATACGGATTTAGAAATAAATTTAGTGGTTCAGTCAGACTGCACAGACGAACACAGCACTAGAAGTGATCAGAGGAGCATTTTTGACTCACCAAAAAATAAACTGCTATTTGTATTAAAACTTAAACCTTTAATCTGTGTTTTGCAGTTTATTTCATATTTTTATCAGGTGTGGTTGCTTAATTGGCGCAATTTACTTTCTTTTGTTTGATCTTATATGCAGAGTAATGCCCTTTTCGTAGATGGAAAAGGTAATTTTCAGAATAGGGCCTTGGATCAGACAGCGTTAATATATATCTGTTTCTGTTCAGTTAAATTCTAGTAAGGGTTTTATGGCATTTGCAACACAATAAGGTCATATAAGTGCCTATATCTGTTTCAAATAATAAGTGAGCAAATGTTAATAACAAGTTGCAGTCAATAATGTTTTTATCTATTGTGAAACGCATTTATACATATCAGACTGTTCTTTACCTGACATCAATAAACTTTGCATTTGCATACTGTCGAGCCACGCCTTTGCAGTGTTTTTTCACAGTATCCCGTAACTCTGGAGGTGTGCAGTAGTCATGGTCTATCAGTGCTGTCTCTGGATCCCCCTTCACCCCTGCTGGCTGTTTTGTCACTATTTTAGAGTCGTACCCTCGTGCTGATTCTTTCTTCAATCGGAAATCTGAGTTGGAAACAAGGTATATTTTTAGGAATAAAGGACAAAAGCAAGCGTATATGTGAGGTGTGCTGACAAAATGAGTTACTTTTTGCTATCCACAAATGGAGATATTGGCCAAAAATAGACATTAGGGTTAAATTTGCAGATTTTCTATTGATGCCATATGTGGCACAACGTGGTGGAATCAGGCACTCGTCAATTTTTTGGCATGTAGGGTTATTGGTATCATCTTAAAGGCAGTTCATTTGCCTTGCTTTGGGAGAAAAAAATATCAATCTATGTTGAATAGAAATAAAGATATTTGCGATTGAAGGAGGTGAGTGCCGCCTTCTTTCAGAGACAAAATTAGCGAGAAAATGGCCGTCAAAGTTTGGTAATTTTCATAGCTTCAGACTTCTTGGAAACTGAAAATTTACAGTTTTTGTGCCTGTAATCAACGTTTTTCTGTAATATGTACACGGAAATGTGTTTTTGAATGGACATAAAAGGTGTTGAGCCAAAAAAGAAAATGAGAAGAATTTGCCCGAAAGCCAGAAAAATGCCAGTTTCTTTGATTTCATTATTTTGACGAGTGACTGATTTCACCACGATGCCTCACATATTCTGTAACTATAACCTGTCTTTCATTATTTCATACATATGAATTGAAAAAAACTTCACCTTTAAGCCTGATGTATCTATTTCCTTAAGGCTTGAATCTGAGGAGTAGCTCATTTTGTCAGCACGCTTCACATATGTCAACTGGTCACCTGACTTCAAATCTTGTACGTTATGAAACTGCTGGCAACTTTTTCAATCAGTAGTATTATGAAACATCAATAAACCAACATTTATGTGTAGCGGTTAGGCTCTTCGCTGTTACACATTGAAGACTTGATATCGATTCCGGTTTGGGGAGAATTTTTATAGAGTTTACTGGTCAGTTTTCTTGGGATGTCATTTCCCACTCTCTGATAGATAAAGTAGAAGAATGCCTCCTAAATGATCTAAATTGTGTTGATGGGACCTACACTGAACGCAAATAAGAAGAACATTAAAAATTGTTTCTGACTTATTAAACTAATTTTCAACCGGAAAATCTTTAAAAAATCCAATCACTAGTCTTCTGAATTCATTATGCTAGTAAACCAGGCAGGAGCTAATTTTGTGTTATCCCATAAGTCAGTACACCAGTCTGATGTTTATCTCTACAGACTTGGGGAATTTCATGTCAGAGTTCAAAGGGTTGATAATCCTGCCAAGAAAAAGCACTACAAAATTTGCTGTAAGAATCCTAAGAAAAGGTTTTCAGATTTTCAGGTCCCACTTTTTTTTACTATACATTATCTTTGTATCTAAAACTTTAACTAAGCGAACTTTGGACATAACAGAAAGACTTCCGCATCCGCCAATTCTGCTTTTAGTGCACTTGACTGTGGGATCGAATTCTCTGACAGAGCCTAGTTTGATAATGTCCTTGGGAAAGAGACTTTTTGCCTTGTTTTCATCCTATCTTGGTGTGAATTTTTAAGTACAAAAAAGCATTCAAATTAGCTGTTATGCTTAACCTGTAATAGACTTCTCCCTTCTTGATCTTGCAACCATTCCACATTGTTTCACGTGACAGGCAGTGGGAGAAGCTCTCCTTCTATTAAACTCATGGCTAAAGAAGGTATTTTTCTGTAATACAGACTCGCAATGAACACAACATTAACACTAAACCTCTTGGGTACAGAAGGCACTTTCCATTTAGTGGAAAACTACATTGAACACAACACCCACATTCTACAAAATGCAGCGCAAAGATCTACCTCTTGGAGGTGTACTTCCAGGGGAACACAATTTCTTGGTCAGGATCATGGGAGGTCCTTTCTGCTGATTATCAGAGCAGACTAGTGCAAGGTGTGGTTTGGGCTCTGACACAACCAGGAACGGACCCACTATGATCATGCTTGTCTGAAGAAGAAACAATAACTGAGATATAACATAAATCTAACATGCTCATAGTGAAATCTGCGGGACACAGAAATCTTTTCGACGCGTACGAATTTTGCTATATATTAACGCCTCAATAGGCTTACAAAGAATATCCACAAGTAGATGAAAACATTCAGAAGCTGAAAATTTATTTGCAATGTGCGTGGTTCAATTCGTACATGTTCAGGTGTGTGTTAGACAGCACATTATCAAATATAGAACAATTTTCTAAGGAATAACATTTTATATGAATCAATCAAAGTCAAAAACAAAGTGAGAAGAAACAGATTACCCAAAAATTATAACAACTGTGAACACACGGAAAGGATTTATACAGCGACTGTCTTTCGGTATTTGCAACACAATTAGGTCATGACAAGTGCTGAAGAATAGAGGAGTTTTGTTTTTTTGTTTTTGCAAGTATTTTACGGCGCTCGCAACTGCAACAGGTCATATGAGCGCGCGGGACACATTAAACTTTTTCAGTTGGTAGGAAATTTTGAATTTTCCGCGGGTGGCGGCCAAAGCCTACTCTTATCGATTTTAGACCACCAAGGGATCTTTAACTGATTCCATCCATTCGGCCGCTGACAGCGGCTCTGAGTTTTTCCGCTGCCTCCATTCGGCCGCTGTGAGCGGCTCAACGAAATCCGAAACAAAGGTGCACTTTTTAACATAGTTCCTACTTTTTAAGTTGTCGAAAGGAAGTAGAACTTGTAAACAAACCTGACCTCAATCTCTGAGCGCCAATATCGATCGAAACTCCGCGAAATTCTTGCAAAAATCGTTGTTTTGTTGTTGCGATGTAGGCTAGATCTAAGGGTAAACAACACGGAGCCTGGTATAATAAAAACGCTCTTTAAAGAAAGATATTCAACTAAATTTGTGAAATTCTTGCATAAATGTGTGCTAGGGTGATATCGCTACAATGTTGTGTTGATTTCTATGGATTATAAGGACTTGTAGAGCTGAGAAAATGCGGTAAGTCGAAATTTTCGAAGAGCTGTTGCGCAATTTTTTTTTTCTCATTCGTTTTTGTCAGAAGGAAATTATAATACAAACAGATTATAGGTCATTGTTATTGATATAAACAGATTTTTCTATTTATTCCCATCAGTTTGGTATATGACAATACATATTAGAGTGACTTAGAGCTTCACAGTAATGCGTTAAATAGATGCACCCCAGGTCTAAAACTGAGCAGGGAAAAATAACTCTGTCCAGAGCCTGAAAAAATCATGGACGGAATCAGTTAACATGCGCAACGCAACAGGCCCTCCGAGATTTTTCGCCCTTGTCCGAGAAGGCTAGGTGTAGATCTTTCCTACCAGAAGATCAGGGGTGTGGCTGAAAGACAACAGTAAGAAGAAGCCAAGGAGTAGCAGTAGAAAGGCTGTAGAAAGAATCAGGAGCCCAGAGGAGGGGGGGGGGGCAAAGAAGATGAGGGAGAAAGAGGAGACGAAAGCAGACGACAGAACATTGCTAGAGAGCAAGAAAGGAGGTGAAAGGAGACAAATTTAGAGAAGAAAATGTTTCGGTCACTACCCGGATTCGAACCCGGGACCTTTGAATGAGAGGCCAACACCTTCACCTCTAGGCCACGAGAGCCCCCCGAATAGAGGAGTTACTAGAAACTAACATACAAACAAAAGAGGAAGAGAGATAAGGACAATACATGTTTGAGAAGAAAGAAGGAGTAAATCACATAAGAGCACCCACCAACCACCCACAAAAAGACTCTAAAGCAGCACGGAGACATTAGAGAGACAGCAAGATTAAAAAAGAAATTAAGTAAAAGCAGCAACAACAGCAGCATTTTGCAATGACATGGTGTGATGATGAAAGCACAGTCTATTGAATCACACTTTCAAAGCAGTGCTTATTTTAGAGGCAGGACCTCTAATGTTACACCCGTCTCCGACAGCACAATTGGGTGAAGAGCCACAAAAACCTCTATAACAATCTAATCGATAGAATACCCACAAAGGGAGACAATCTACCAAGATAATACACAATGCAGTTCAGTAATGTTGAAATTGAGCCAATGACTAACAGAAACTATGATAAAATAAAAATTGGAAAAAAAAATTATTATATTCTGTGAATATTGACATTAAAATGCACTGAGAGCACAGGAAAACCAATAATATATAAAAACAAAAAACTCGGTTCTACAAGGATCCTAGAGCACCTTGCCATCTTTGAGGAAGGTAGACTGAGGAATGTAGAACTGGTCTATCTTCATATTGCCCGCTCTAGATTTTTCCGCATTTGAAGATGGTGACAGGCTGACCAACTCATATTCATTTTCCAGGGCAGAGATGGACGGCAGAGTGATAGTTAACGGGCGAGACTTCAACCAGGAATCTGCAGGGAAAAATTACAGCACAAAAGATTAGCATTTTAGTTTTAGTAGAGGTTTTAAGACGCTCACAACTGCAAGGTCATATGAGCTCCAGAAGATAAGAGGAGTTACAAGAGAGTAACAAACATAAAAATGAAGAAGGGGAGATAAGGACGAGAGATGTTTCACAGGAAAGAAGAAGCAAACCACACCAGAGCACCCGCCAACCACCCACAAGATTATGTACTTCCTTTCATGTGGAGAGTACTTTAGGCCTAGGTACTATCTTTAAGAGAATTCTTCTCTACTGCTTAATCACCCCATTTTCATCACTGTTATAATACGCACACACAGATCGATGCGTTGTACAAACCTCTGACCTATGCACACACTCGTATTTCACAGCATTTTACTTGTCTACCTTATAATAGTAGCTTCCATGACAGCCTTGCCTTCTGATGCTGACCAGGAAACACATTTTTATGATTTTACAGTAAGTACTAACCTTTCAGGCCACATCATCGTCCTCATCGTGATTTTGAAACAGCAACAACATCATGTAAATGACATTAAATTTAAAGAAAGAACATTCACTGAAGACCAAAGCGGCCATTGAGGCACTGGCAATAGTGAGACACCACTAGCGACATTTTATCTTGCAACTTTTGCCATTGCAGTCAGAGTTAAAACTCAATTGGGTATGTTAAAGTAGAGGCAGCATCAACACATCATCAGTGTTGCAAGCAATCTGCTTTGTCCATTTGAGAGCTTTTTACACCAGCGACAAAACAATAGTTTTTGTAGTGTTGTTCAGGAATCATGAAGCAAGAAAATCGTAAGCCTTGACCATATATATATATATATATATATATATATATATATTTGGTGATGTTGTAGGAGCATCTTTGATACCTCTAGAGATTTGGGAGGGTGTAAAAATAGAAAATTTATCAAAATATGGACTTTAAAAAATGGAATGCTTGCGACAGTGACAACATCCTGTTTGCATCAAAAGGTTACAAAGACTTGGAGAGAAAAGTAAAATCATACTGTCTTAAAATAATACCTTCCTTCATGCTTTGAGCACCAGTAATTCTCTCAGGTTGAACAATTGGTTCTCCATCTTCTGTCCTGCAAAAGAAATCGTGTAATTTTAAAAAAATAAAATTTTTAAACCCCTTAATTTCAAGCAGCACGTTTATGTGAATCTTGTAAAATTAAAAATGGAAGAATGAAATTGTTGTAGGAGGAATGAATTCTAAACAATACATGATATTAATATATATATTTATTTAAGAGAAAAGTTAAAAATTAAATTGATCGGGATATGATGTGAATATTACCGTTATATCATGATGATGTCTCTCTTTTTACATTCAATTCCTGCTTTGCTTCGTGGGGGGGGGGGGGGGGGGTTCTTTCTTCTTTTTTTTTCTTTTTTTTTAAAGAAAACAGACACTCTACCAATTTCACACATGTATTATAAATCATATTTCTTAGACTTCCTTCAATTGCATAATATAAACCATACTTGCTCTTACCTGTACACTCTCTTCACAGAATTTTGATTCAAAGTTGAAACATTTTCAGATCTTTCCTCTCCATCCAGGTTTTGTGTTGTTTCAGAAGCTGCACGATGTGTGCTGGCAGAAGACTTTTTACACCTTTGCTCTTCACCGATCACATTTGACTTTTGGGCTGACCGCTGAGGATACAGACCTTTAAGAGTGTCACTAGACAATTCCATAAATTCTTGTTCACCATCTTTTCCGACAATTCCCAATCTGAATTTTCCACTTTCATTTTCATAAACTCTGCTCTGACGAAGGCTTTTTAACTTAGGATCTTGTAACAAGCTTTTGGGGAACTTGACAGGAAATCCTCGGTTAGCTGCAATGTCTTTCTGCTTCAGCTGACCCTTATTTTTCCTTTTCCTTTGACGCTGTGTCAAGACATTTTTTTTTTCCTCAATCTTTGGAACTTTCTGCTGAGGATCCTTCCTCGGTCTTCCACGGGGACGTTTATTCTCTATCACAGCCTCTGACCTTGACACAAGTTGCCTAACAACATTTGCTTTCACCTGCTCCACTTTCTCAGGTAGAATATCCATGAAACTTTTTTGGTCTTCTTTCGACTGATCACGCTGATAATTGATAAGTCTTTCATACTTCTTTTTTTCTCGAAGGCACAATTTGTTCTTCATTTTGTCAACGCAAAAGTCTTCACTTTTGTCCTCATTATCTTCAGACAGAGGAACTACTGCCTTCAAGTTGGTGTCGAGACTTTTTTCTGCATCAACTAACTTTTTCATCAGTTTTGCATATCGTCTTTTACGGCCTGATGCATTGGCATCAACTTCAGAAAAAAACTTGCTTGATGATACTGTTACATCCTCTGTAGCTTCTCCATCAGACGTTACAGTGATTGTTTTGTTTACATCTCTGAATGTAATAACTTTGTACGTTGTACCTTTAGAACCAGTATGAGCAACTGCTTCTTCATTAACAGGTTCAGTATTTCCAGAACCAACATTTGCTGTGATTGTGAGAGGCGTATTATTGTTGGGTGAAAGTGAACAATTACTTAATTTGGACGGTTTCGGCTGCTCATCAGTATCAGGTTTCGCTTGATTGTTAAGATCAGAAAAGCTGTCAACTCCCTCTTTAGAAGTCTGAAGACTGGAGGGATTGGCACCATAGCTACTGGAAGACTGGGGACACGAAGACTCAGAAGAGTCAGATTTAGCTTTAAGTTTAACAAGCGTAACTCCGGCGCCAAGCTTTTGTTTCTTTCTTTTGCTATGAGTATGTTGTGAACTTGCATTTCTTTTTAAAATCTTTTCAACATGTTTGGCATCAGATTCATTTTTACTAGAAACCGGCTTTATTTTTCCATCCTGTTCAGCATCAGATTTTTGTACAGGCTTCAGCTGCAGAGAATCCAAGAATGCTTTGGACTTAAGTTGCAGACCCGCCGAAACTGAAGCAGACTCTTTCCCGACCGTATCAGTATCATGTATATGTATGCCATTATTATTGTGATTATGACAACTTGAGTGGAGAAATTGTTCACATGTATATTGTTCATTTTGAACAGAAGTGTCCCCAAGTGACTGTTTATTTTCCACCAAACGCCTTTTCTTTTTTGCTAAAAGGCGTGTGGAGAACTTGCGCGTCCCCTCTGTTCCAGCCGAAGCCATCGGCACCGTAGATCTACTTTCGTTTCGCTCGGCGGAGCCTTGAACAAGGCTAGGCTATCCTAGAACAACAAACTATCTCCACATTTTCCGATTCATCATTTAGATTCTAACTTCTTGACCGATCATTCCGAAAGTTCATGCACTTTGAAAAAGAAAGACAAAAGGCCATAAAAATCAAAGCAAATTTTAAAACACAATCTGATATCACCAATAAATTTCTAGCTGTGGATCTGTTTTCCCAATCACTCCCTCACACTTCATAAGTGGCACGAAAGATAAATGGTTGATTACGCAAATCGTCCATTTTCCTGCCTGCTGTAACCGTCAGCCTCGTTTTCTTGATGTGTGTCGTTGCGCCCTCTAGCCTATTTTCATCCTACTTTCGATTTTTCAGGCCTAGTCTATAAATAGCGTTTAATAATCAGGAATTCCCGACAGAAGCCGTTTTTCGTTTCGCCACGAATAACGACCGACGTGTTCTCTTTTTAATGCACTGGAAAGGCATTAGTAATCAATCAAGAATAAATAGAATCGAGAACCTTGTCTAGATTTTAGATGTTCTATCAACAAACTATCAAGATTCATACTGAACGGTTTTGTTACCCTGGCGAACGAAATAGATCTAGAATCTAGATCTAGATCTATAGAGCTTGACCAAGTACCTCCACGGGTGCAACTAAATATTGGAAACTAGGAATTGTCTTCGTCAATGTTGTCCTGGCCTAGATCTAGAGCTCTTACGCTTGGTCTTGGTCAAGGCTTAGATTTTCTAGATCTAGCCTAGCCTCTGTAGCCTTCTTTTGGAGTGGAATATGCGATGGCGCAAGGCAAGGATTCAAAGATTCAACAAGATGTGAAACCCACTGCAAATACAGACAAGAAAAAAGAGAAAGACCATACCCCTTCAAAGGTAATAGGTAAACTTTCGGCAATTGTTTACTTTCTCGCGTTTAATTCCGGTCGCGCTTAGATCTAGATTAGAAAGTCTATCTAGAATCTATATCTAGATATAGATTTAGATCTAGATCTAGATTCTAGATCTAGAGTCTAGATCCTAGACGAAACTCTATGCATCTCCCACTGATTCAAAACTTTGGCTTGGGCTAGAGTTAAGAATACATAAACCAGGGCAATTTCATCATTTGTAGAGAAATCTACTTTTATAGGGGCTCCTTTATAGTAGGCTTAAATAAACCTTCCGTCCGCTATTGCCATTGAGTGTAATATTTCATAAGAGTTCAGAGTGGTCGCTCGTTACGGAAGTCCTCCCCGGAATTAAACGCGAAAAAGTAAACAATTACCAAACTTTCTTTACACTAAATTACATGAAGCTACAGTACAGTTAGAGCGAGCACCTAGATCTAGAGATCTAGATCTAGATCTAGATTTAGATCTATATCTAGATTCTAGATCTGGATCTAGATATCTAGATCTAGATCTAGATCACCTCTGTGATTGGCCCAAATATAGAGATAAAGTATTTCCGCTATTAAAATCTATTTTTGTTATCTTCATGGGCTTCCCTCGCCAGTTGACAAGATCTCACTGTGGTGGGCCCATGGCATGTTCATGTATGTGTATGTGTGTGTGTGTGTGTGTGTGTACAACTTTGAGGAGAAGGTAAATTTATGGAACGAGAATTGCTAAGATTGTTTTTATAGAAGATTTTAATTCAAAAATAAAAAAACACGGTGAGATCTAGTCCACAGTTACTTGCGAGAATTACTCATGAAGTGACAGTGAGCACCAAGGACACCTCTGTGATTTGTCCAAATATAGATGAAGATAACGTATTTCCGCCGTCTATTTTTGTCGTCTTCCGGGGTTTCCTCCAAGACTCTTGGGTTTCCTTCGCAAACTGTTGACATGGTCTCGTCGTGTTTGTTTGTTTTTTGTTTGTATTAATTTGTGTTATCTTTTATAAAACAATCTCAGCAATTCTTGTTCCCTTCTCTCCTCAAAGTTGTACACACACACACACAAACAAGCGCGCATGCACACACACACACACACACACACACAAACAAACGCGCATGCACGCACGTACACACACACACACACAAGCGGGTGCCCACACTCACCCTCGCATACACACACAAGCGCATGCGCGCACACACTAGCTCGAGCAGTTGGTGATGTAACTTAGTGACGTAGCCCATCGCACGCTAAGCAGCGAAGCGGGCCTGCCACGGTGAGATCTAGTCAACTGGCGAGAGAAGCCCCGGAAGACTACAAAAATAAATGGCGGAAATACGTCTTCTATTTGGGCCATCACAGAGGTGTGCTAGGTGCTCGCTGTATCTTCATGTAAGCTATGAAAGATGGTTTCTAGTTTTTCATTATAATTATAATCAAGTAATCACTTGTGATGCTAAAGTGATTTCACTACGGCAAGCCGCCCCCGAAAACTCGAGAACCGACCTATAATTCTAGCTTATATTTTATTCCAATCAACGTAAATATATATTTCCATGTTAAAATAAAGGTTTTATTATGACTTTGACTTCCGGGTCAACCGTTTCCACCGAAAATCGTAACTTTTGATTCAGTTTTGAAGCATGATTTCGGAGTGTATATATTTATAGCGAATTTGTTTTATCGCGATGCCCAAATTATAGCCCAGATACCAGTCTTAGTACTTTTACAAAAGGGGAATGCAGGTATACATCATTATTTTGTTTACTAAAATAAATGTAGGACTCTTCTTTAGAATTGATATGATGCTGTCGAACCTGCCTTAATGGAAACCTGTGTAACATGGAAACCTGTCTCCCCACTCCCCCCTTGATATTATATTCCTCTTAACTCTTACCGGACGAATCGCCAATATATCGGCGCGAGTCCACACCCCTTGCTGATGTATCGCCGATATATCGGCTGTGATGGGATGCCTCAGTTTTATTTGGTTTTAACATGATCCATTGTTTATAGAGGTACTTTTTATTGTTATTGGAAACTAAGAAAAGGTTTAGGAAAGGAAAACATCTTGTTTCACTTTGTCAACGTGTCGGTCTGGCGAAAAACGTGTGAATGAGTTCTTGCGGTCTTGCATCAACAAAACGATCTGACCGGACTGTGTATAAATATCATAACTCAAACTAAAATTGGAATATTGCATTCAAATAAAAAGCTGCACTCAGAAATTTATGGAGTCTGCTCTTGGCCTGTATATAATAAGATAGCTATTCTGATTCACTTTCACATGTTTAGTGTGTGTAATTTTTCCCGTCAAAATGTATTTTTCTCACCACCATCGCCATTTCTAACCCTTGTAATGCATACTTTTGTTCAAAATTAATCCTTGTTTCATTGTGGAATGTATTCCTTTTTCAATTTCCTTCAGTTTGATATGTCACATTATGTGTTACGTTTTGAGTGATGGTTATGCTTTTATAACGTTATTTTGTACATCACCTGTGTAGCCGAATCGAGTCACAAGTTAATTACGTCTAGACGCCAAAACAACTACGTTGGGAAAGAGTTAATTACCTGTATGAAACTAAATCTGTCCAACGCGAAAACGGAAAGAAAAATCTGCTCCCTTCCGAGGGTTTTCCCTGTCTGAGACTGAAAATGCTTTGCCTGCTCAGCCTTGATTTGAAACAAAATTTGCAAGTTTGCATCTGCCGGCTCTAAACTTAACGCCATGTTGCCGGGCAAGGAAGGGGAGTAAGGATGCAATTTGAGGGTGGATGTTTCCCCATCTATTTAAACCCTGAGCGATGAAGATGGTCAGGGTGATGTGGGTGTGAAATCTCACGAGTGCCAGTGAAAGTGCTTGAGTGGCGCTTCAGCAGGGAAACTTTCATTGGTAGCCAGATGTCAGAGGTGTGAAATTAGTTTGACCAATGCCTGACGCCCTGATCGCACAGCCATCCGAGAAAAGAGTTCCTCGAATCGTTGTTACATGGCAGTAAGGGGTGGCATTGGTTGACTGTGCTTGTTACACCGATGAATGGGGCTAAGGGTGACAGCAAACAAAGATGATCAAATGTTTCTGTTTTTAATAGGTCAAACAGTGGTCTTATGAAAATTGTAATTGGATAAGTAAGACTGACGTATGTCATTATCAGAGAGGAAAGCACTTGAGAGGTGTGAAGTTTTGACCATTGCTTACCGACCGCACAAGCGATCCTTGATCCAACTGCTGGGCCTTTGAAACCTCCCCTCCGACCCC